CATATATAAAGCACACAATTCAATTGTACAACTCAAGGAATTTTATAGTATATACTCATATGACCACCACCCAGGTCAAGATGTAGAACATTTCCAGTACCCTAAGAAATTCCTTCATGTCCATAACTAGTCAATAGTTCTTCCCAAAGGCAACCATTTTTTTGAGTTCTATAACTATAGATTAGTTTTGCCTGTTCTTGAACTTCACATAAATGGAATTTTTCAATATGTACTCTTTTATACCTGGTTTCTTTTACTCATCATAATAATTTTAAAATTTATCCATGCTGTTATATAGTTTCTTCCTTTTATTGCTGGGTAACAGCCCATTGTACAATTATATAAAATATATCTATTTCCCTATTGATAAACATCTGAAATGTTTCCAATTTGAGGCTATTATGAAGAGAGCTACTGTGAATATTCTTGTACCAGTCTCTTCGCAGATCTCTGCATTCAGTATTCTTGGAAAAATTCTTAGGAATGGAATCGATGGGTCATAGGGTATATATGTTTAAGTATCAGTTTCCCAAAATAGTTGTGCCATTTTTACATTCCCACCCAAAATCATTCTTTTTTTCATTTTCGTTTGAAGCAACCTCGGTTTAAAAAAAGGGAAAAACAAAAGTTGGTCTTCATGAAAAAATTAATGGCAGTGAATAAAGAGCTTCCTAAATTATTTGGAATAGTCGAGGAAAGCAGTCTACGAAGTACAGAGCTATCTGACAGCAGATCCTCCAAGCAAATACTTTGATTTTGATCATTGGAAACGATTTTAGCCACTTAGATCAAAGTTTTTCACAAAGATGAGTCAAGCAGGGGTCCAAATCCTGAGAGAAACATTTACATAAAGCATCCTTCAGATGCGATGCTGTTAAATGGAAGAGTAGAAAGAGAAAGAAGAGTCTTCCCACAGCGCTCTTGTTTACGAGGCCAGCCCAGCACTGTGACAAATGAGACAACATCTTGACGCCTAATGCAGCTCACCCCTAGGCACTGATTCTGCTTTGTGTTTCCCCTGAGTTCTGCTTCAAATAAACATATTAGGGAACTTACTTAATGATGCACTCTGGGGCATAAGACTGTGATAGGCATGGGGCTCCGCACACAGCCCCAGTGGCTGGTCTCCAGCTAGCACAGGAGGCAGCTCTAAGCCCTTTCTGTTTCTGAGATGTCCTGACACCCACGGTGTTGTTTTCATTCTTTCTACGGGGCTTAGTAAGAGAAAATGAAGACTGTAAAGCCAGAATATCAACGCCAATCTCAGTAACTTCAGGAGGTGTTCAGAGATGCTCAAAGCAATAATTTTTCTATTTGGAAAATCCAAAATTGGCAACAATCTAGATGTCCAAAAATAGGAATTGGTTAAATAAAAGCCCCACTTCCTCCTGCAGACAGTGGAAATCATTGTGTAGAGCAGAGAAATTACACAATGAGGCCTTAGAAAATTCCCAAGATGGCAGTATGCCGAGCACAAGAGGGCCAAAGACCCAGATTCAGGGGGCTCCAAGCCCGGTAGTGGGCAGTTATTTCTAGACCTTTCAGGAAAGGGTTGGAGCCTGGTCCTTAATAGCCAGTGGATTTTCTTATGACTTTTATTACCGTAGGTGGCCTAGCTTCCAGGGGACAGGAATAAGGAACTCCATTTCTTCTTAGTACCTACTCTGTGCCAGGCACTGGGTCAGGCACTTACCAAGCATTAATTGACTCAATCCCCACAACAGCTCCATGAAGCAGGTACCATTATCTTCATTTCAAAGATGAGCTCTGCCTCAGAGAAGATAAAAACCTTTTGTAAGTTCACCCAACTAAAAGGAGATGGAGTTGGGACTTAAGTCTCTCTACTCCAAGCCCTTACTAGACTTTACTGACAGCAAATAAAGTTTAAAAGGAGTTTAAAAGTGGGCAGCTACCACACTTAGCCACAGGCAGGAGCACCATGCTTGGCTTGAGTAGGGGATGGGCTGAAAAACAAAAACACATTTTTTCCCCTCGAGTTCTCCTCCTAATGACCAAATGGCTGTCCACAGCCAAATTTTAGCTTGCTTTCCTATGAGAAAGGTTTAATAAAAAGCCTCTTCCCATGAGAGCTTTGCCTACCTGAGCCCCTGTGGTCCAGCGTGACTGGTCTCAGCTTTAAATGGCAGTGACTTTTTCTGCTTTCCCCTCCACACCAGAGAGGATGGCTTGCCTGCTATCTGACTCGATTTTCTAATGCAAAGGAAAGTAACCTCGCCTTCTTCATTCACTCTATTACTCAGAGACATTCTCCATCGCTAGAGTCATGGGGGTTTTATAAGCCATGCAAACAATAATAATGCATTGCTTCAGTTACTGTCTATTGTGTATTTTGGGGTCTTCTTGATAACAGCATATTGGAGCACACTCAGCTAGTTTGCCCTTATTAAACCGTGAAGGTCACCCCTCTTCCAGGCTCTGTAATCAGCAAGCTCTCGCTTCTCTTCTACACACGTGTCTCTTCCAGAGCCTTCTGCAATTATGGCTCATTTCTCTAGGTTTCATAAGGCAGGCGTCTGAACAGAATTAAAAGCATAAGCACGTGCAAAAATAATCCACTTCCCAAGATAGTAAATGCTGAGAAGTTCTATATTAGAACACGCTGGGAGTGCTGACTGGCTGGGGCATGATTAACCTAATAGGCTTAAGCTCCACTTGCCATCCGCATCTGTCAGGACACGAGCAAAACACAGGCCCATAATCCACAAGGCTGAGCGACTTCGGAATTGTCCTGCTGCTCACTAACAGCAGAGAGTCCAAAACTTAGAACGACAACAGGGGGACAAGTACCTCTCCCCCTTCACGGTGGAGCCATGGAAGAAGACAAGCTGGTTCCAAGTTTAGGACATTGTACCATGGACTTCAAAGGATTCTAGTCTGAAAATTGCCTGGATGGACTAGTAAGATTTCCTTTTGTTCCTATTTCAAATACAAATCTCTGAAAATTGTGAAGGTTGTGGGTGGAAGATGACTACAAGCTGAAACCATGGGGTGCACCCCTTCCCACAGTGACATCGTAAACAGCGTTGCAAAGAGTGGCATTCAGTTTTTGAAAAAGCCCAAGGCAATTTTGCCAGGATGTCAGGGGGGCAGTGAAAGAGGTTCCATCCCTTTGCTGGTTAAAAACTCCTCCTGCTATGACGCTGGGGGGTACCTGCCCGAGGGATGGGGGCCAGCGGAGGAGCAGCCAGGTTCCAGGAGGAACCAAACCACGGCTGAAGGTCTCTGTCAGCTCACGGGAGACCCTGCTTCATGCCAAAGGAAAGATATGAAAGGACTGATCCCAAAACACAAAACCTCTCCATCCCAGCTGAACAAATCACAAAGCCACATGGCTAAGCGTGCTCCATTCAAGACACAGGGCTCCCGCGGCTCGCAAGGGGCAGCCTTTTCTGGGGAAGAGAGTGAGGGAAGTACTTCCAAGGAGACCACCAAATGGGAAAGGAAGCCAAAATGCCACAGGTCGGGCAAACAGTGCCATCGCTGCCAAACCACGCCCCCTGCTCATAGTTCTGAAGGCAAAGTGGACTTCCCCGAGCCCCTGGTCAAGGCCCACCAGCACGCTTATGCCTATCTGCACTCCAGCCTCTCCAAATATGAAGCCATTCTGTGCATCGTCCGCCAGGCCACCCAGACCCGGGAGCTGCTGCAGCCCATGCTCAGCTTCCTGCTGCTGTGCTCCGAGGAGATCAGCCAGCTCTTGGGGGAGATCTCCAAGGATGGAGAAGTGCTGCTCCAGGAGGTCAGGGCGGATCTGGCTTGGCCGTCGAGGAAAGGAGAGCCCTGGGAGCAGCCAGACCTCCTGCAACAGCTGCTGCAGTACACAGTCAGCAAGCTGCAGGCGCTCAACGGCACGGTGGCCTTGCTCACTGGCAGCTGCCTGGAGGGTTCCAGCAGCTACCTCCACTCCACTGCAAGCCTCTTGGACAACAAGCTAAGCATGAAGAAGAGTGTGGATGAATGCCTCCTAAGGGCTCTGGGGCAGCTAGAGAGCCTGGCGAGTGCCCCCAGCAACCCTGGGGTGCAGGGTCCACCCTTGTGTTCCGAGGACAGTGGCATTGGTGCCGACAATGAGTCTGTGCAGTCTGTGGACAAGCTGGCCAAGCAAAACAGCTGGGACTTTGCACCAGAGCCAGTAGAATGGAAGCTGGTGACTTCACCCCACGTGGAAACCGGGCTGTCGGGACATGCCTGGCAGCACAGTCCGTGCTGGATGGGCTCAGACAGGCCCCAGGACTGCCCACTCTCAAGGCCTCCTATGGCAAAGGTTCAGCCGGCAGCACAGGGAGAAGCACGGAGCCCGGGCCCCTCCAGCGCAGGCCCAGGGAGCAACACCTCCAGGCCTTTGGAGCCGGGCAAAAGTACTCTGTGCGATTCCTTCGGGATCGGGGTCCCTGCAGAAGTACATCTTCCTAAAAGCTCCAGGTCGCTGGATGCTCCATCCTTTAGTGAAGTTGAGGACAGCAGCCCGGAGGAGGAAGAAGATGAAGTTAGCAGCCTGAATCTGTGTGCATGGCAGGAAAAGGCTCCACATTCCAGGCCAAAGTCTTCACCTGCTGACCGGGAAAGCCCGTTGCAGCCCCGCCCCAGGAGGCTGAGGAGCCCCCAAGCCCAGGAAATGATTCTGAAGATGAAGGAAGCCATCAGTGAAAGGATCAAGTTTGTCCCCGTGCCCTCTGGGTACCAGGACTGGGCTGAGGAGGAAGAGGGAAGGTCAGTGGTCCCCCCAAGACCTAGCACAGTCAGTGGTAGCAGATGGGCCCCCGAGAGGCAGAGGAGGTCCCTGTCAGAGTCATGTATTCAGAACCAGGTGGGGGACTCCACCCTCCAGGAGCTGCGGAGGGTCCAGAGAGACCTCAGTCAGAGGCTGGAGGTGTTTTATGCCCTGGGTGCCAAAGGGCAGGGGCAGAGCCAGGACCAGATTCTGCAGCCCAGAGCGGCGGCTCTGTGGCCCAGCAACTGCAAGGTCGGGCCGAGCAGCACCACTAGCAAGCTCAGGGCCTCCCTCACCAAGAACTTCAGCATTTTGCCTAGTCAGCACAAGAGCATTTTGCAGAAATGCAGTCCCCACTCTGAGGGCGAACAGCCCTGGCTGGGGAAAGAGAAGCTTCCAAATGCCACCCCATCAGATGAGGACAATGAGGCTCCCAGGGCCAAGGACAGGGACTGTCCCCCCAGAACGTCAGTCAAGAAACTTATTGAAACTTTCAGCCCCACTGAGAGCGTGAGGACACTGGGTGATTCCAAGAACTCTGGGTCAAGCCCCGGCCTTAAGAGGTGGGGGGTCCCCATCATGCCACCTAGGTTTCCCATTTACAGGGGGCTTGCCCCTTTGTATCCTAAGCCCCAAATTTCTCCAGCACTAGGCAGAGAACCTTTCAAAGTGGGCACAGGCTGGAGGCCCTTAGCACCTATCTTTCCCCCTGTGCCTACAACAGAAGCACCCAAGAGTGCAGACATCAACCGTGAAGTGGAGGGGGACCCAGAGCACCTCCCTCCACCGCCTCTGGAAGTCCTCATGGACAAATCATTCACTTCTCTGGAGTTCCCAGAAAGCAGCAAGTCAGCAGAGAGCTCCCCCGAAGGGACCCCGGTACCAGGGCAGGGAGGAGCTGGCCCTGCCAGGAGAACATGGGCTTCCCCAAAGCTGAGAGCCTCCATGAGCCCCGTGGACTTACTGCCCAACAAGAGCAACACCAACCTCGCCAGGCCCCACAGCACAGGACCAGGGAGCAGCAAGAGCGGCTGCGATCCCAGAAAGCTTGCCTTGGACCCCAACCACCCGCCAGCCACCAGCCAAAACCCAGAGGGGGAGGATGGGGCCCCGAGCCAGGCACAGGCAGAGAAGGCCACAAGCCTCCACAAGCAGCCCCGGAAGGCCATGCCCTGGCACCACTCCAGCCACACATCTGGGCAAAACAGGACCTCAGATCCCAGCCCGGCCAGACCAACACGAGGGCCACGTTCTCCCGAGGCTGCAAGGCAGAGCCGAGAGAGAAGCCCCCCGACAGCCAGGAAGGCCTCTCCCACAAGGGCACACTGGGTGCCCCAAGCAGACAAGAGGCCCCCCAGCCTGCATTCCTCTCACAGACCTGCCCAGCCAAGTCCCCCCACTGTGCAGGGGTCCCCCAGCCCACCACTCAGCTCTGGAGCCCCCAGCCCACCTGTGAGCCCCAGGGTGCTAAGCCCACCCACAACCAAGAATCGAACTTCCCCACCACGCCAGCACAAGGCCTCCAGCCCCCC